TGGCTTCAATTGAAACTAATTCTAAACGTTTTTTTTTTCTCATGATTCAAATTGAACATTCATAATCATCTGAGTAAATACGCCGTCATTCATAATCATCGGAAACAGTCTGAGTTGAACTTACAAAACTAAATTAAAAAATTAATTTAAAAAACGTATAATAGTATTGACCTACATAAGGAGAATCATATAAATTCTTCAAATGATAATTTCAATTACTGTAGTAATTATAAAATTTTCGATTAATCAATAAAAAAAAAAAAAAAAAAACTTGCCGACGTTCGGTAGTGAGGAAGCAAAAGGAAACGGCCTTTTCTGAAGAGAAAGCAGTAAATGTTTAAAACTCAATAACTCTGCAACGAACCGTCCGATTTCGATGATTTTTTTTTTATTTTGTCAGCAATTCAGGAATCTATCATACAAATGTAGGTATCATCAGTCAAAAATTGTGTACTTTTTTAGTTATCGTCAAATAAAATATTGAATTCATCGTAACATTTTTCAGCTTGTTTTCGGGAAAGTTTGTTATACACATAAATTAAAAGGGTTTCAAGGGGAAGACTTTAGTGAAGTTTCGTTAAAATTGGTAGAGCCGTTTTGGCGCTACAGTTTATAGCGAGACATTTTTTGCGGCTTTGAACAGAAAAACATTTACATTTTTATTTTTTTTACATATATAAAATTATCGTAAGACAGAAGTACTATGCCAGAAACCTTCCAGGAGTGTACGGAACAACTTCCCAAAGTTTCGTGGCGATCGGTTGAATGGTTTAGTAATGCACTAAGGACAAACAGACGGACAGACAGACATACATTCATTTTTATATATATAGATTTAATAACTTTTAAGATATTACAATCAGTCACAACTTAAGGACATTTATAATAGTGTTCAAAGAGCACATTCACACTCCATTCGCAATGAATAAAAATAAATAATACAGAAGAATAATAATACTAAAAGTAAATGTATATAAACTAAACTAAACAAAAAGGAAATAAGCTAATGAAAGTAACAACTGAAATACATAAATGCTCAAGATCTCCGAGCCAAGCCTTTCTCTCCACTCGTGGAAGGAAAGGCAGGACTCAAGGAGATCCCAACGCCCCTCACCCAGCCCCGCTACTGCTATTAAAGACCAGTAGAGGCTGAGCAGAGGCGCTAATTTAATAACTAAAAAACAAAATTTGATACCTCAAAATTATGGAAAATCGGCTTCCAGAACATATACAAAAATATGACATGGTGTTCTTTCTTTTTGGGGTACAGAAAATAATACTAGTAATAATAATAATGCTTAGCGAACCCGAAGGTTCGATGCCGATACCACCAATCGATGTCCACATTCTTCCATCCACCGGGCTCCGTCTAAACCCAACCCCGCCAAATCAGCCTTAACGCAATCTACCCATCTTCGCTTTGGTCTACCCCTCGGACGCTTGCCAGTCGGTACAGCGCATATTATTATTTTAGGAATTCTTTCGTTACTGAGCCCAGCGATTTTACATGCCCATTTTATTCGCCTCAACTTAATCACCTCAATTATATTAACCGGATACCGTTCACGCAATTCAGCGTTGTGTAACCGCCTAAATTCTCCGGTGGACTCGTCCTTTTTCGGTCCGAATATTCTGCGCAATACTTTATTTTCAAAAACTTTAAGACGTTGCTCATCCCTTATTGTAAGCGGCCACGTTTCGCACCCATAAAGAACTGTAGGAAAGATAATGGTTTTATAAATTCTAATTTTTAAGTTTCGGAACAGGAGGCGAGAACTAAGTAATTTTGACAAAGAAAAATAACAAACATTTTCCACCTTCAGCCTAACCTTAATGTCTTCTTTAATTTCGTTTTTTTCCAGTTATCGTAGACCCTAGATACCTAAAATTCAGTACAGGGTATAGAATATTAATATAGAGTATCAATATAACCGAAATTGTCGTTGTTTTTGCAGCTAACCATATATTTTGTCTTATCCGTAGAAATTAGGAAACAAATTTTAATAGCTCAAAGTTATGGTATGTGAGTTCCCAGAAGAAATAAAATAATGGACATGGTGTTGTTTACCTCCCGGATAAAGATATATTTACAATAAACCAATATCGACCAAGTTAGGTTTAGGGGAACAAAGATGACTGCAACACATTAGGAAATTGGAATTATAAAATCTTCAGCGTCATGTTATTTTTTTCCAATAACATCTTTTGCGTTTATAGGATAACCACCTTTAGTAATTTAGGTCATCAAGTAACTTTATCTCTAGAATGAAAAAAAAAAAATAGATAAGGACTAATAATCAGTCAAAGGGTAAATATTCCAAAAATACCAAGAAAATACTGAAGGAGAATTTATTCACAGATTTCACGTTTAGATACGGTGCAGAATGAAAACATTAATTAGGTTCTTGTTTTAGCTAACTTAGGTTATATTACTTCTGAAAGATCAGTAATTAAACTAGGTAGGGAAGGTAGCTCAAAACTGGATTATCTCGGATAAGCTGCAGGTGAGAGTTTCGAGCTTCAGTAAAAATTTCTAGAACGAATAATCAAAGTGATTTAAATAAAGTTATTTAAAAGTCAAAGTTCATCCTTTACTTTGAGTGTTCAATTTTATTAATTAAACAAGATCAATTAACCAGGCAAAAGTGAAGAACCATCGACTTAATGGAATAAAGTATCTATATGATATTGATACTGGGTCAATACTATTCCTTGTAACTGGCCATTCCGGCCCATTTAATGGCTTAAGTCAAAAAAGCAGTTAGTACGAGGACTTTGTGGTCAAATGATAAGTTATTTCTCTTTTATCATTAAAATAATTTTAATTTATTGTATTTTCTTCTAGTGCAATGACATGATTATGCAAGCGTGTATTCAGCATCCATGTTCAAACGCCAGGACGCCATATTTAAGCGCCACAGTAGGATTTCCGACATCAAAATAGATTCACGATTGTTAAATCAGGAAATGTTCTTGTATGAGGTTATTTAATTAAGCATAATGCATACCTTTATTAATTATTGGTGCTGTCTCTGAATTCCAGTGCCTAGTTAATTAAATAATTAATTTCTTTAAAAATTAAACCGAACCATGACATAAATTCGGATCATTCTATTGACACAAGTTTTATTCTGCACGTTTAAGGGGGGATGAAGGGAGGTTTCATTGTTCGATTTGAACATTATGAGATATTTCTGACCGAAAACTGAAAAAAAAAACGAAAATAATTCATAAAATCAGACTGTTCCACAGACATCCTATATCACGGCAGATTAGATCATATTGCACGTCATATCAAAATAAAAATAATCAAGATTTTCTGTTGAATCTTATATTGCTCTAACATCTATTTTGTTCCTACAACAACGATCATACGTACAAGAGTGAGGTCAATATCATGATCGATCAGGTAGTCTTGTATAAGATTCAAGAGTCAGGAAATTACTGGCATAATATATGTTCACGGACCAATCCCTGAAACACTAAAAAAAAAAATATTTCTATGTAATTCTGGACTTCACCAACATTTTCTTGGCCTCCATTTTGAAGCCAAATTTTTCTGCACAGTTAAGCCTAGGCTACAATAAAGGGTGCAAACTCATTTATTTTTTTATCAGACATTATTTAAAAAAAAAAACATGATTTTCTAAATCCAAGTGAAACAGCCTAGTAGAGGACAAAAAATCAAGATCATTTTTTAAACACCAAGTGAGTCCACATTCAACATGATACAATTTTTTGTCTGAAGCAAAATTACTTCAATTTCAACCGTACACTGCCAAACCAAAAAATATTTTTTTATTAACAATTTTACCGTTATTTCTAAAATTATCAAAATTTTATCGAGTGCTCAAATTTTATTTTTTGTTTGTATCCATTATATTCAATATAATCATTTGTTGTTCCACAAATATTTAATTTCAGTGATCCGAAACCTATACAGTCCACGCCTATTGATGTATGAACCTACCCAATATTACACAGTGAAGAGGTCAATTGAAAATATTTGGCTATATTAACGCCCGAGTTTACAGTGGAAATTCCCAAATCAGAATGGAAAGTCTGTGCCCATGAATATGTTCTGACTACACTGTATTGATAGTGATATTTTGTGTCAAAAGGGTAATAAGCTGTTTTATATATATATATATATAAAGTCCTCAGCAAAAGCAACCATACTCTGACGTTTAACTTCATTGAGTAGCAATTCCAGCTCACTGGAACCAGCTCCCAGGAGGATCAAGGATTGCTTCATCCCGGATAATTGGAGCCTCCAAACAAGAGCCAGGGCATCCCAACTCCCAGAGGAGGAAGACCGCTGTCCATCCTCAGTATAGATCATTCTTTGCAGATATATTACACTGAATGAGACTCATAATCAATGCCATTAAAATAATAGGCAAGAGTCGTTAAAATAATTAAATTTAAAAAAGAATCATAAGTGAAATTCTTTTTAGTTCTCGGAACAATTCGGCGAATTCTTTGTAAAACGAACCCCCTTTCTAAACTCAACAATCTGGCCTTAAAAATCTTTTGAACTAGTGACTCTGGAATGGTAGACAAGCATCATTATATATAAAATAATACGCTCTTTTGTAATTTACATTCAAACTTTCTATTTTTAAGGGTAAGTTTAAGAAAGCTTATAGACTTAAAATTCAATAATAGAAAAGTAGGGCTGGGTAAAATATTTGCGTAGCTATTTGTAGGCCTTCTAGTCAACTATTCATATTCCCTTAATTTATTTTAGATATTTTATTTATTTGTTTTTAAACGTTTCATAAATTAATTCCCTTTCTCGTTGCTTAAAACTTTTTTCTTCTTCATTAGAAGAATTTGCCAATTTAAAGAGGGATTTTATGATATTGCGATCGGTATAATTCAAAACTTTAACTGTTGTACTGTAAAAATATCATCCTCTAAGTCAACTGGAAGAATTGAATTCTGCAGATGACTTAGTTTTTTGCAGAACTGTAGGAAACAAAATACTTAGTACTTACTTTTGCTAGTTGAGAATTTATCCATTTGGCAAAAGTTTTCTTTTGTACGTCCTCCCGCTCATCTGAAAAAAAAAATTAGATATTTTAGTAATATATATATTCATAAAATCAGACCCTACTGAAAGATAGGAAGGGAATTTAATATTTAATATGTACAATTAGGGAAACGGTACAGACCCAGAAGCTGATAAATATATGAGGAAGTCAGACAAACGAGAGAAATTACAAAACCAAATTAGAACAAGTTCCCAACACGACACAGTAAACAGCGTTTGTTTACATATCCCACCAACGGCATACTTCATGAGACCTTTTATCATATATCATTCAACTGTAGACTGATAATAGCAATTTCACCGCAAGCAGGGAGATAGCCAGATAATATTTATCGTCAAGATATTCACAGCAAAATGGTGCATAAGTTGCGGTATTCTGCCCTAGGAAGTAATTCGAATAATCTGCATACTAAGTAAGGTATGATTTTTATATAAATGCTAGTGAATTAAACAAAATAATAATAATTATAAATCAAATAAATAGTTAGAAATTAATTAAAAATCATCTCCAAACATTATTTTGAATTATATCACCTAAAAATCGGAGTAAATCACCTTGGTGTCAATTTCGAACCCCTGAGGTTCAGTAAACCTCCAAATATTCAAGCAATAAAAAAACATAACATTTATTATTTTTGTGTGGATATGTTACATTGAAAATTCAAGTACACACAAGGCAATTATGAAAAAATATCATTTACTAAATTTGTGTAATAAAAAATATATTTATAAAAATAAATTTATTATATTAATCAATACCTCATGCACTTATTGACACATATTTTACATAAACACAAGCGATAGATGTGAATGTAAAATTAAAATAAAGTTTAAAAAATATACATCGATGCGTAAATATGAGGAACAGACATCTCTGCATATAAACAAGAAACAAATATTCCTAAAACACTCATAAAAATTTATTCTCAATAAAAAACGGGATTTCTAGTTTTGTAAAATAGATATTAATAATAATAAATAAAATAAAGAAATAGAAATTAATTTAAAATGTGTGACATTTGCAAAACTTATTTTGAATTATATCACCTAAATATCACCACTGTTATTATAGGTCACAATAACAATTGTCGGCTTCGAACCTCCGAGTTCAGTAAATCCACTATTATTTAATAAATAAAACAAGCAGAACATGTTTTGTGTGTGTGTGCTTTATATAGGAAATACACACACACGCTAGACAACTTTGAAAAACATATCCTATTCAAATAAAATAAATGTATGATATTAACTAATATCCCAGCCGATTGATGTCACAGCTTGAGTGAAGGATGAAAATATAAAATTAAATTTAAAAAAAAATGCGCGCTTATAAATATAAAAACAGAACTTATATTTAAATAAATACAAAAAAAAATCTGCAGAAGACAAACTTTAAAAGTTGCAATAGAAGATTTATTATAAGATAAGATTTATTAGAAGGTACATTAATGTTATAATTTGAACACACATAATCTAAGATTTTACCCCCTCTTATTTTCTTTTTAAAAAAAAATAAAATGGACAACGTTTCAAACTCTTGTTCATCTTCTAAAGAACTGAAATACATATTTGAACAAAACGGAAGTAAAAAAATTGCAAGGAAAGACATGAAGTCATGAAGGAAATAAAGGTTAGGACTCATATATAACAATTATTTGGAAAGTATTATATTAGAATTGGTTGAAAAGGTTGGAAAATACTTGTAAGAGCAGGTTAGAAAAAAAAAAAATATATATATATATATATATATTTGGGCCAAACCCAACATCAAGAAATCAATTTTCTTTTGTTTGAAAAACTTGTAAGCTGAAGATCCTGAGTTGCAAATAAAAACCTTAAAATGCGATAGTGCAAAAGAATATAGGAATACTATATCTATATATGAAATAAAAATTGAAGTTCGTTAAAGAAAATATCTAGGATAGGATGGAAAGAAAATGAGTAAATAATAATCCGTATAAAACAGAGACCTATAATGAAAATTTGAAGAAAAATACTTATTAAATAAAAACTTTGGGTTATTTTATTCCCGAAAAATGAACAAACAGAATTACATTTAGAATTGTCTGTTAGGCACTCCAAGACAAAAAAATATTTAAATTACAAAATTATTTAATATTAAAATAAAAATAAAAGACAAGCATAAGTAAACAAATGAAATAATAGATAAATACATGTCCATATGTTTACATATTTGTGCAGGTAAGCAATATAAATAATAATAAAAAAAGATTGGCAACAATAAAATAAGAATATTTAAATCTTACATATATTCGGAAGATTAATAATTGAAGAAATGGAAAAACAATTGTCATTTAAATGAAGTTAAAGATGAGATTTGATGTATAGAGGTGTGTGAAGAAACATTTCTACGAAAAGGGATAAACAGGTTCGTGGGCTGGGATCTCGTATTTAAAGAATGGACAAATGAACAGGGAGTAAACAAATCAAGAAGGTTGTTTGATTGCAAAGGTTCGGAAAAGGAATATACTGCAGGGCAAAGCTCGTTGGATATAAAATAATTTAATAAGCACAAATTAGAATTAATTACTTACGAGGAGCTATCCTCCTCTGCAGAGGCCACATGGTAGGACCAGATTCGCCCTTCAGGAGGAGAACACTAAAATATGCGAGGACCGAATAATGAACAAGAGAAGGGCGGCCGACAAGAGAAGGAAGAAGGCTATCTCAGATATGGAAGCCATAAATGGCTGATAATGAACAGCTGTAATCATATCTTAGAGCAAACAGTAACCAGTAGTAACTATCTATCATCCTCAGAGAGTAACGGGAACTCTCAGTAGCAGGTGTACGCCATAAGTTAAGTATTTATAATAAACCAATTGACTCCGGAGAATAATTCGCAAAATATATAGGTCAGGGAAAAATGATTATAATAAGTAATAATAGAATTGTTGAAGGAAGTTAGTCGAGTGTTCTACATATCATGGGTGATAAATATTCAGGACGTAGTTTAAAAAAAAAAAAAAATGTTTTATTTATGCCAATGTTTCAACTCAAACAGGTGGGTCATCTTCAGGCCTGACATTTTTTTTAAAAAATACAATCAGAGATATAATATTATACGACCGATAATATTAAATAATTATTTAATAAAATATAGTGATGGTACAGGAATCTTAACTAATATAGTAACACACATACGGCATAAATAAAAAACTAATTTTTTTTTTTAAAAACGGACTGTGTCCTGAATATTTATCACCCATTATAAGTAATAATAAATAGGCAAAATCAAAACATTATGAGTTGAAGGATTTTATTACTTTCACTTTTTATTTTACTCATATCATATGAAGTATGAAGGGTGACACGTAAGTAGAGGAAAATATTTAGAGGAGTGATAGCTACAAAGAAGAGCTACCACAAAAGTATACTACAAAGACTACAAGAACTAAGAAAAAAGTTTATATAAACTTTGGTATGATTTTACCAAGAAAAGTAGGAAATTTAAGCTTTGATTTTTTTTTTTTTTAAGTATGCCATGTTTTTTGTTGAATAGAAAGCGATAACTGACATTTTAAGAGGACTTTTAAGAGGCAAAATTAAGCTAAGTTCTGTTTAAAAAAAACATAAATTATTCACGATTTTTTTTTTTATCATCCTCCAACAATACTAAACATTTACCTACCTGTACCACTACAACACATGAATGGTTTTGGGTTCAGTTCTATGTGAGGAAATAATATTACAAGGCCAACGGTTGTGCAGGAAGGTGACACTCAACCGCCAGGTTTGTCTCCTTAATTAATTATTTAATAAGATTACCCACTTTAAAGAGGCTGAGTATGTTAACTGAATGTTTTTGCCATCAGGAAGGACCTGTCTGAGATGGCAATTTTCATATAGAAATATATTACATATTGCTAATAGGATGTATTTCAAACATTATCTCCACCGTTCCGCTCCCCCGCCCCGTATTCCTATAGTTTGGCCCCCGCAATAATTTTTATAAGTCGACGCCAATGCATTTCATAACGATAAAAATACTTTCCTGAGATATTTCACAACTGTAACAACCTATACTAGTGAGGATAAGTTTCGTGCAGTAATAAAGAACTTCGGACTTCATCAAGGCTTCAGTCCACTCTATGACTTAACGGTACCTCGGCAGTCCAGATGCTTTATCCGCTCAAAGCGCAGGGGAAGGTTGAACTTTAGAAAAGCCAGACAGGTCAAAAGCACCCGCCGACCTTAGAACGTTGCAGAACAATTATGCGGAACAAAGAGGATACAAGAAAATCCTTATAGCGATTTCGCCATTCCTTTGGACATTGATTGCACTCTAATCAGCTAAGATCTAATCTATCTTCCGTCTACAAGATTGTCATTCTGCATGCATGAAATAACAAGCGAGGCAAATGCAAATCATAAAATTCTTGGCATGGCAAATGGAGTATAGATTAATCAATTCTATACTATAAATGCGTCCCTTGACTTTAGGGTCGATCCACTGCTGATGAAAATTACTAATCACCAGCCGGATTCGAACCTAGGACACTAGGAGCTCTGGAAGTAAAAAAATCTTCCTTGTTTGACTAGCTATAAGCCCACGTTAATTAAGTTGATAAAATTCATCTCACGTTGAGTAAAAAAAAATGTATGTTCCGTCACGCTCAAAGTCCCAGCATTTTCAGTAAACATTGTTAAAATAAATCAATACATACCTTTAATTTTTTTCCCTTTGACCTAAGATGGACAATAATACAACCAAACGAATAAACAACCTTTTTATTTCTAAAAATGAAAATGTTAAAAATAAAGATTTTCATGAAAAATGGTTATGTAACTGTGTTTTTCACCCAGGTATCTATTTATTTATTTATTCGGTAGTTCATGCATATTTAATACATTTCTCATCATAACAAAACTCCAGGAAATTTCTCAATTTCCAATTCAATTTGGTGCTACCTTCACCATCGTAATGTTTTATCTTGGATATTGGAATCATATAAAAAAAAAACATACTAACATTAAGTTATAATATACTGAGCATTGCATTTACATACAAAAAGCAGCTGCGTCGATAAAAGTATAAAAGAAAAATATACATTCATAAACATACATAAAATATACACTATATATAAGTTAATTTTAAAAACTAAGGAAGTAGCAACTCCTCCGCAATATAAGTCATAAGGAAGTAATACTATAATACATAAGTAAAATAAAAAAAAAAAAAAAAATTATAGGAA